GGCTTAGCAGTGCAGTGATCCATGGTACTACCCGCCTGTTTATCCGGGCTAAGTGCTCTTTGCTGTGCCACTCCACTTTTCTCCGTTGTCTCAGGCCTATTTGATTGATAAATATTGCAGTCAGTAGGCAGCGTCAGCCTCTGACCTTAAGATAATGGAAATAGTTTTTGAAGAATATGACAAAAGACCAAGGACTACAATCCCAACCAGTATTGGGTATGTATTAAGAAAGGTGTGACAGATAATCTAGATGCGGCAATTCATACCTTATGGTCTGTATACCGAAATGTGTTCATTGGCCATGGAGGTGTCCCTCTTGAGCATACAATCCTTATGGAAATTATTAAAAACTCTTGAAATTTTCCAAGTTTTGTTGGAATTGTATTTGATGATAGACCAACAACAGGTGGCACCGATGTAATTGAAATGACAGGAACAAGGTGCGTGGTTTTCAAAATATTATGCAAAATAAAATCTGAAACCAGTCACTATTTTGTAGAACCACTTTTGACTGACATCACAACTGGAAGACTTTTGAGCCATTTCTCTAAAAGCTAAGGATAAACAAGGGATAGTTTGTTCAAGAGGATGTGCAGTTGTTTTACTCTCACACACAGCGATGTGGGGCTAAAGGTTCAATTTTGGTCTCATCTGATCAGAGGAGGACACACATTTACTCTGGCCCCTGCATGGCCTATTCCAAATTCCAAATGGCCTTCTCTTTCATAAAGACCATATTTGTGGATTGCACTACTAATTTTAATCAGTTGGATGGATGAAAAAAAGCCCAACATCACGCCATACATTACTCCAGTATACCTTGCAAGGGTTTGCTGTAACCTTTGTAAATTATTATACATTTTTAATCAAATTCAAACTATCTGACAAACTCATCTAGTTCCTCATCTTTGATCTTCTTGGAAAAATCTATTTTGTCACAATTTCCACTAGTGATGCATAAAAAATAAAAATAAAAATGCATCAATTATATGCTTAGCTAGTTTAATGTTCACCATCTTGAATCTCTAGTTTGTTGACAAGTCTGTCCAAACTCTTGGCCAAATGATGCCTCAGCAATCAACAGGCCGAGAGGAGCCATCGCCTCGGAGCCATGCTGCCAACAGTAACAAACAGCTGTCATATTATTTGACGTGTGAGTTTGTGCTGTCACCTGGTCGCCATGTTGGCTGGTGACCATCAGTAAGACTTTAGCGACACCCGTTGGAGAATGGCCATCTAGATGAGGTGTTTACAGTGTCAACAATTCCACCATCAGCTCTGCTTTCTTATCCAGAAAGCATAAATTGTGCACAACTCTGTCCAAAACACAACTAAATAAAAACGACTGTTATAGAGAGCAAGTAGGATTCATTGTTTTATCCTCTTCCACCTTGTTTCTATTTTTTTTATTTTTTTTTACTTTGAAAAACAATCTGTTTTGAATATTGTAAGTATCGGGTGTAGGCTTGTTATCAACAAAGACAAAGCTACAATACTGCCTTCATCTTAAAGAGTTTTATTTTACAGGCTAATGCAGGACTACATTCCTGAGGATTTAAAATACAATTAAATGAGGGTTACTTCTGCTACTGGAGGCCATGTTGTTTAGCAGGTTTCCTATATCCCTTTCCCCTCTTGAATATCATTCACAAGCCAAACACCAGACTCCTTCTGAAACCCTTGCTCCAAGATGAAGTGGCTGCATCTGAGTCAATAGTAATGGTGCATTGTTCACTGTGAGACCTACAAAAAGCCTCACAGTAAACCCTTCAAGCTTTGTTTGAGAGACAACTTGAACAAGACAAAAGAAAACACAAGTAGAGAAGGCTTAGAGTGGCACAGCTAGAACCAACAGCTGTATACAGAGTGATGGAAAGACTTTAGATGCTTCCCAGCTGTCTCTGCTGCCAGAAAGTCAGCAAAGGAAAAGAGACTTGTGGAGCCCACAGCAAGTGACAATGCAAGAGATGCGACACATTGCCTTTAGGGAATGAAGGCTTGGGTAAAAAAAAATAAATAAATACATATTTGAAGAGCCCTAAATGGGCTGATTAAATAAATCAGTAAAAAAAAAAACCAAAAAAAAAAAAAAAAACAGTATTTTAAAGGTCATAGCTACTCAATCAGTTCATAGATTTTGTTTTTATTTATGTGGCGGGAGCAGTGTGATAAAAATTGGGAACTTAAGTTTAAAAACAATATTTTAATAATTAGTTGCAACAACTCCACTAAAAAGTTACCTTTAAGGCACACAGACCCGCTACAGATGAGGCTTGAGACAATCTCACAATGTAACAATTTTTATTTATTCCACAGTTGTTTGTTTAATCAAAAATACTAGTCTAAAACCACTCACACATTAAAAGTCAGTGTTAGCACCCAAAACCCAACCATGATTTCAGCCACGGATAGCAAAACTGTCACTTACGATCGCAGATGAGTCGACCAAACCCACAAGCCGACATGTAGCCGCCGACTACAGCAACAGTGGGAGAAACAAAGACACAAGCACCTTGCAGCGGCCCGCCCAACTATATAGGCATCTGCCCCGCCCACCAATCAATGGTGCGCTTCCTGCTGCACCCGGTGCGCAGAGTGGGGAGGGGGGAACACCATCCCACCACATTCATTTATTTTTTTATTTCCTGTCGCTTTTGCTAGCAAAGAGGTGATTTATTGTAGACTTTAGTATTAGTTTTTTTTTTTTTTTAGGGGGGGAGGGGGGGATTTAACTTGTGCTTGTTATCCATAGCTAACAATCCTTGGAAAACAGAACTGTTTACTTCTACATGCAATATTTAACTTAATGGTGATAAAACACGTCTCCTTCAGATGGGATCTAAGTGTATGAGATCGATTTTGAGATTTAGTTTATGCACGCAAGTGCTTATCAATGCTCCATTATACAGATTTATTTATGAACCACTGTAGAGTGTTTTCAATTCAGTTCAATTAAAAAATACTTAATTGATCCCAAATGGAAATTAAATGATGTTGTAACTCATATTAATTCAATTTTTCAAAGAGTTATTGTAGAGAGTGATGGCTGTGGGCAGGAAAGATGTCTTGTAGCGCTCTCTCTGTTACAGCAAATATAGAAAGTAAGCTATTTTCATGTTTCACCAAAATGTACCATCTTAAAGCTCAGGTATATTAAACTTAACCACATATTGAATAATAAAAAGCTAAAATATGACAAAACAATGCCTGGGAGCTGATTCACACAGTGTGAACTCACAGCTTTCTTGGTCAATGCACTTTAGACTTATATTGCACTATGGTGTCATCTTTGTTTACATGCTTGGTGTGAGTTACAGTTCAGCATGCTGGTCCAACAACAGACTTTAAATCCACCTCCAGGTCCAATGAGTGTTACCCTAATGACTCTATTAATCAGCCTATTTGTGTTGCAGATATTTTCATTGTTTTTAAACTGTTTAACAATTAAATACTCAAAGATCAATTTACTTGCACAACATTGGGTATTCTTAATTACATTTTTACTGGTACACAACATAGGAAAGACTATCTTCAGTGTTTATTTTAGCCACTGGTGATCTTGTTACTGAGTCATCAGTTAACAGAGGGGAGTTAGAAAGGTGAACCAGTTGTATCACATTTCTCCACGGGAGAGATGGGTCTGACTTCCAGGCATACAGCAGTCATTTGATCTGCAATCTCGTCCAATATTCTGTTATATAATGTCTCAGAGACACACATGACGTTTCAGCTCAGTAACTGGTTCCCTTACACTCTAGTCTCTTGTCCATTTATTTCGCTGTCTCCGCTTTTCCAGCTGAGCCCACAGGGGCAGTGACCTCATCTAAGCCCAAAATCAGTGACCACTGGGTTTCCTGTGTGTCTGAGAGGAGATGAGAGTGCCAGACACCTTTCTTATTAAAGCTGTGTTTGGCCATCAAGCTGAGGAGAGATTCATTGGAAAAGTGGGTGGGTTGGACCAAGTGGCATCTCTTTTGTCAACTCCAGCATTACACTCTAATTGGCTCCCATAGGCTTTGGGTCTGCTGGAAAGATTGCTCCAACACATAAATAAAACCTACTTAAAAACACGCATAACATATCTATGCCTACGAGACTAATCTAACTTAGAACTAGCTAAGAACACATAAAAATGACAGGAATCAAAAGATTATGTTTTATATACATTTGGGGCAGTCATGTTTTCATGACAACAATGCCAACAAAGTTGGATGTCACAAAATACCCTTAAATTGCTTAGTCTTCCACAAAACAAAAGGTCAATTTCTCATTCAAATATCAACCAGCAAAACCACAAAAATGAAATGTTATTCTCATGTGAGAAAATCTTATGAACATTACTTATTGTAATTGAATCCTGGTTTTAACCCAGTGTAAAATACATCAAGTCCAGCTTCTCCTCCAATATACACGCTGACTTTTTCTTAGGATACTTTACCTAACTGTGGATATAGACATGGTTGTCCTCTGTGTATCAAACAGCACCAACCAGGCCTAGGACTGAGGCAAGGGATTCACTTTAGGAGATGACACCACTAATCACTTAAGCCAAGGCTATACTGGTGTTACAGTTAATTAATACGGTGAGTTGTGAAAGAAAATTACCTTCCCAGGAAGCCAGTAATTTTAATTAAATGATCCCATGGACCCGTATGTGAAAACATAAATGCAGAGACTAACTCCCACTCTCAGGAGTGTTTTTTTTTTCTTCCCCTCCACCCCTTCCATCTTACCTTTTGACTTTCTGTATTCAGCTGTTCTTCCTGGGAATATCTTGGCTCCATCAAAATTGACAGTAAAATGAAAAAAAAATGAAAAAGTGTTGTCATTTAGGAACTCGGCAAATTATCCTGCATTTTTTGCTCACCACTTACTCAGTCCCTCCAGGTTTTTATGTGACCGGTATTGTCAACTAAATCATTCGCTCGCTGACTTGGCCTGTCATCAACCATATCCTGATAGCAGATTCACAGACTATAGATTAATTTAGTTTTTCATATAACAATGTTTAATTACACAGCCTTCAGATCAGCACCATCAAAGACAGAGATTTGTGCGTTTCCTGCAGATGTGAAGTCTACATATTGTCAAATTCATCATCCCAATAGATGAAAATGGTTTATTTTTTTCCTGTGAGGGGATGTAATTACAGAGGTTTAGTGAGTTGGAGATGAATTCAGACAGAATCATACATGCACTCATCATTCCTTCTTGCAAGAGAATTTAGCTCCCTCAGCTTCTGCATGTAAGTGGGTACAGAGACGAGTCATCTTCCAGATCTCTCTGTCAGAGGTTGTGTTAGACTTTCTTGATGTCCATCATTTTGACTGACAGCATAAAAAAAATCCTGTCATAATCCATTTTCACTTGTCAATTTTTAAATAATAATGGCATATTCAGTTGCATTTAATTTTTATTTGGTTGAATTAATATTTAACAAGATGAAGAGAGAATCTACATTGTGCCGTTACACATCAAGCAGATGTATACATATTTTCCTCAGTCTGCAGTGACAAAAAGGTAAAGGTAATTTTATTCATATAGCACATTTTCAGAAACAAGGCAATACAAAGTGCTTTACAGGACTTTGTATTGCAAACACAAAGGAAAGAGCAAAAGAAGAAAAAGCTAATAATGTTGATCCAACGTATATAAACTAGATACTTCCATTCAAGGTTGGTAGATAAGTATAAGCAAGTATTCTCTGGTCTAATTGCTTTTCTGGTTTGGAAGAGTAGGAGTCTAAAAAAAATGAATAAAAAAAAAAAAACAACTCACTTTGAACCTTGTCTGTCCTCACAAGACCTGAGGATGACTGTGTGTATCTTGCTGGACAGGCAGTGAACAAAATATGGATTTACTTCCATCGTTTTAGTCAATAGAAATATTTCAAAATTTAAATAAGTGGACAATAAAGCACTTTAGTTCTCTGTTTTAATATGGCTCATTAATAATTGATCTCATAATATGCTTGCTTTATGCTAGCTATTCATATGTGCACAAAGGTCGATCTTCTGTTTGATGAACTAAACATTCAGGTCTCTCCTGTACAGCTGTTGGGTGATGTCAATTGAATCTAGATTTACTTGCCGTTTGTCCTGTGTAGGAGTCCGAGTTTGAGAGCCGATACAATCGAGGGCTGGTACAGAAAAAGAGGCTAAATGTGTATTTGCATTAGCAAAAATCCATTGCTCGTTCCTCTCTCTGTGTGTGGGTGGATGTGAGAAAGAAATGGGTTGTGTGAATGGGTCAGCAGGGAAATGGGTGAAAAGACAGTCATGTTGCATTTCTGACATGTAGTCAGGTGACTTGCCATCCCACACCAACACACACAAACATGGAGAGAGAGTGAGTGAGAGGGCGAGACAGAATTTTCTTTCACCGCCAAGCTGTCAAAGACATCAGTGACATTTCCATGCCAATCACTGGCTCTACCCATGCCAATCAGTCTACCTTTGTGTCTAGATATCAGTCTCAGTGTGGCCCGAACCTTTATGTTCCTGTCTCCTTCCTTGTTAATCCTATCGTTAGACCACTGCATTGTTCTGACTCTGTTCTACATACAGAAGCACGAGCAAATAATCACAAGAGTAAAGTTTGTAGTAACCTTCATTGTTAAAAACTGCACTAATGGAACTTCATTTTGCGGTGAACAAGGTCAAAAAAAGTCTTTTCGATGGTATGTTTTCCAAAGAGGTGAAGATGAGCAACAGTGCTGCCTCAAAAATGTGTTAGTGCTTTAATTTGCTGCAACTCCCAACAGGACTGAATAAAGTAGATAAGCCCTTCTCAAAGATAATTCTGCAATGTTGTCTAACTTTAAGAGCATCAGGCGTTAGGAGCTAGAGGGCAATGCTCAGCAGAACCATAACATCCGTAGGAGCTCCTGAAGTTCCATATGAGGGGTGTGAAATTAGTCGAAACACTGTTGATGTAAGTGAGTTGCAGTAGTCCACTGAGCTTTGGAGATTTTCTTTTGCATATTCAGCAGCAACTGCACTGTGTGGGAGAAGTTTGCTCAAGTTTTTTGAAAAACAACATACATTCTGAGAAAGAAAAAAAAAAGAGATGAAGAATAGGTTGATCACTGAGCTATAATAGGGGCATGTCCCATAGGGTTGGATAAGGGCTCATTAATATGCAAATCAGCCATGCTTGCAGAGCAATGTCAGAAGGAGAAGACTTTGTATATGGAACTCTTTATCTGCTAATTGTTTGTAATTGCTGGCAAAAGTGATTGATTTAGATGGATGTGTCAGAGTGTGCATGTAAACACATGGAGATAGAAAGAGAGGCAGTTCAATAATAAAATTGCATTGGCATCCACTGGGGGAGTTGGAAAAATTAAATGGAGACAGTTTGCCTTCATTGCATTAAGTTTCTACAAAAATGATGCAGTAGCTACATTGCTTACTTTTTCTTTGTGTGCAGTCCTCATATGTAGAACGCAAGGATTAGGAGTGAAATTAATGGACTATTGGTTGTTTGTGTGCAACTGTATATTGTGCTGTTTTTTTATATTATTATAATCCCAGAAGGAATTTCTCTAGTACACTGGCATAAAAATAAGTCTAAATTCCTCTCCTAATGAGCCAGGTTGCCATCAGTGGGGTTCTGGCTAAGGCATGCTAAGGCATGAATTGAGGTTATGTTAATGGAAGGATAAACTGATGATGGATAAGATGAAGTCTGCATCTTCAGTTGGGCTGTGCAGAATGAATAGAAGTCAATACAATGCCATAAGAAGACTAAAAGGTCATATATAATCAGGAGTTATATTTCCTCCAAGTAAAACCCAGAGATAATTAGAAGAACATGAAAGAAAAACACACAAGCCCCAGATAGCCGAGAACATAAAAAGATGCTTAAGACTTGTGACATTATGCTTGGTATGCATAACGGACATCAATGCATGACACAATGGCCACACAAGGAAAATAAGTAATGATAAAATACCTCCAGCTCTAATTTGAGAAAACAAAGCATTGTTCACAACTACAAAGCCTTAATAGACAACATTGTTATCAGCATACAATATATTAGTCCTGATTTATGTGTGTTGTTTTTTAATCAGAAAAGGGTTGTAAAAACTACCAATATGCTTAAAACCAAGATAAATGCAAACTGTGATTTGTTTTAAATCTTAATGTATTTAAAATTTGGTGTAATCTGATCCGAAAAAGCTACGTGCTATAATTGTAATTGACTGAAAATTGTTTTTCCCCTTGCTATTCATTTCTAGCTTTATCATACATTACCAAATCAAGCTACTCACCGAAGAACCAATTGCATCTTCTGTGATGATCCAATTAGATCTGCTGTAGGCCTCAGACAGGAACTGGAGGTGGTCTGCATCCAGTTCCCACAGTAGAGCCAGCAGGCAGGAAGCTGCAACTATACAGGGAGGGGAGGGGGAACAAAAAAAAAAAAAAAAAAAAAAAGAGGACTTATAAGGCTATTGGATGTAACACCTAAAATCCTCTGTACCGTGGAGGATTTCCTAGTTCACAGCAGAGCTTTATGGGCTGGACACACAAAGAGTGATGAACGATAGAGAAAGGTGAAAGTTTTCCACAACAAAAGTTGAAACTGTTTTACATTTTGTTGTGTTGCGAAATTTTGAGCCTGTATGAGCTCGAAATTTCACATGCATGAACTTCGCCAGTCACTTAGCTGTATGAGGACAAGCGACTGTCGCCTCAAAGCACAAGTTCCATAGGAAATGAATTAAAAGGGATATTTATATTATTATTTTTTAAACAATTAAAGATTTCTTTTACACCTTCATAAATATATAAATCTGCCCAAGGCACTATTCCTGAAGAACCACAACAGCATGCATTTATATTTCAAGCTTACAAAGTTAAGCCTAGTGATTAATCAGTGCCACAGTGGGATTAATCTTATTCTGTATTTGAAATTAATTGAAAGCGCTACAAAATACACATATGTTATAAGTTAGGTACTTTTCAAACTTTTCCATGAATAGACTAAAAATTTGTAAAGAAGCAATAAACAAATATGTGATGCACAGCATGAAAATTAGGAAAAGGTTGCTAGAGCAGAAAAGAAAAAAAAAAAAGATAAGCTCCATAATTTTTTGAGAATTTCAAATATTTATTTATTTGAAAAAAAAAATAGTTGGAGGTTTTAAAATTGTTATCTTTGTTTGAATTCTGCATGCTTAGAGTAAATATGATTTGCTAGAGGTGGTTGGAAACTCAGCTGATTAACATACAGGGCTTCATTGGCTATTCATACTTCTGTTATTGGTTTTGGCCTATAAGATGAAAGTCATGGCTACGTCACAGCATGGGAATGAGCCATTAGAAAAAGAAACCCCAATATTGTTATCAAAATTCAATACACTGCATGTTTTCGTGACAATATTTTTCAGGACAATTCGTTTGAAACTTTGGGTGCCGTTATTTTAGTTTTGAGAAATGTATTTTTTGTCTCGGTCAGTCACATACACATCTGAAATATGTAATAATTCAGTATGTATTCTAAGATCAGTGCTTCCCAGCTTGTCTGAATGATTATTAATTGCTCCCTCATTTGTCTTAAAGCTTAACCCTAAAGAATTGCAAATTACATTAATAAACAGAGCTTAAGATCAAGGGAGTTTCCATATGGCTATAACCTACTTAGTCTCAATAGCTTTTGATGTAGCCTCACAATATGACCGATCTCCTCGAGGAGAAAGTTGGCTTTAGAGGATTTCAGACACCACATCCAACTAAACCCCCTTTATACATGCAACACTAGTAAGCCGTGCACTGAATAATAGAAGAACAGCCCTTGGACGAAGTCAATTCAATACATGGCTTTTCTGTAGTGGTCAATATCCCTCTCTCAAGGAAAGAAATTACAGTGGAGAGATGCAAAGAAACCACTACTTTCTTTCAAGGATGTTACCTTTAGCCTTTTGGAACCAGAAAGGAAAACACAAGTGATGGAAGGTGGTGGTAAGTGTGACTCAATATCAAGGAATATTAACTTAAAATACAGAAAACAAGAAATGAGTTCATTAAAAAAAAGGGGGGGGATGTACCCACAGCTCTTTTCTAGCTTAGTTGCCCTTTCAGTCAATCACTGATTTGCAAGTGAATAAAGCACATTTGACAGAGAAAGCATTGGCTAACCTGGCAAAACAAATCCGTCCAAGCAGACTTAAGTTAGGTCAGAGACAACAGAGGTCGGCCCTTTCAAGTGTTGTAAAAATAAGGTGTCCACACTGAAAGCTTTAATGTCAAGTTACCTAAATGATATCAAGTTAGCAGGATTTGTGCATGTGTCCATGAAAGCACATAATCGGTAGGTCTCCCTACCATCTGGGTAAAAGTCAACTCCATGCCCAGATTCAAAGGACCAAAGGGAATAGATAGGGAGACACTCTCTTCATTTTTCTTGATGCAAGACCTGTAATCTGGGGAACCATCTGTAAGAGATAACCTTTACGGACATGATTCAGACCCCCATGGCATATGATGGAGGAAAATAGATGGAAAATCTCAACAGTGTCTAATTGTAGCAATTCAGCCTAATGTGTGCTACCACCAGTGATGCATGCTAATCCCTTCAACATGTACTTCAAAATCAAAACACAATTTCACTATGAAGGATGTAATGACATATTTGAAAAGAAAAAAAAAATCCTTTTGACACACTTCTTTCAAGCATGAGGGAACTTCTGCAGTATGAGGAAAAACGTGTTATATTGAAGGGTAGCAAAGACAACGAGCCAAGGATGACATTGTCGGAAAACATAGGAGCCACACTTTCACAAATGATTTTAAATATTTGTGAAAGTAATTTTCAAATAGAAATTTGTTAATTGTTTTTCCAAGTTCAACTATGTTTCCTCACAAACCATTTCAGTGAAAAAACACACCTCATTGTATTTAATTTCTGGTTTACCATGATGCAATACACTTGAGCATTTGCTTTATTATTAACTTATATAACTGCTCAAGGATACCTGCGATCGATTGTCATGGTAAAACTATGCAGATCAAGGTTTGTAGAGAAGAATGAACCAATGAAAGAAGAAATGTGAAAGGAAATAAATAGAGATGTATAAGGATAAAGATCACATATCAAATGACTTCCAGAATAGTCTTCGACATTAATAACTTTATAAGAGTCTGTCTCCAATGGAAACCATTTTCCAATGTACGAAGGCACATTTTTGTCTTCAGAAGTCTTGAATCACCTTCAACTGTCCCACATTCTAGTTTGAACTACCTACTTGCTCCAAACTTGCTATTGCACATTTGGAAAACTTCAAAAGCACAAATGACAAGAAAAATTTGGTCCTTTTGTGAGTATTAACATTTGGTAAGTCAAACATTAATTTATTCATATTCAGTTAAAATAAATTTTCTTCATGTAAAGGAAATTTGAAGACATTTTACAAAAAAGTTATGTTTCGCTTCAAGTGTCCAGTTAAAGGAATTGCTTTTTGCGTCTTCTGTTCACCTCCAGGCATCTCCTTTGTAGAAGAGGACTTAAGCATGTAATCTTAAAGTCTACAACTTATCAGCAAATCTGCAGTTCAAATCTAAGTCAATATAGCTGATGACCAGATAGATGCATCTAGAGCAGCAGCACCTTTCAGCTTTAGTAGTCCCAAATTAGTCATTGTTTCCCAGCTCGGGACTCCAACATTAATGAACAATACAAGTAAAAAATGAATAAATAAAAAGGATGGAAGATGTAAAAGAGTTAACGAAAGTGTTCATGTTCAATCATCTTGTTGGTTATATCGAGTAGCATAGTCAATGAGTCACTGACTTTCTGCCCCAGGCGGTGGAGCTAGCATGGGCGTTTTTGAGTAATGAGCTCAGGGGGACAGACCTCCTGAGCAATAAGCTGTGGCTAGCCAAGGGCTAATCACTGGTAGCCAGTAGGCCAGAGGGCTAGTCTCTCAACAGCCAGCTGAGATTCTACCACCCCTGACAAGCATAGCAAAAAGGAAAAACACAAACTCATGAACTCTGACATGCAACCTTATATTCATAATTTCTCCCAGCTAAAGGATTATACGTTTAGTGATAATTCCATTTGGCTGATTAGCTCCCCCTAAAAAAGACTGTAGCACCACATAAACTGAAGTATACTGCTCAAAAAAATAAAGGGAACATTTCACTTTAATTTTTTGTGTGGCTCCAAATCCAGGCCTCCATTGGTTAATAAATTTGTGTGATTTTGTTGTCAGCACATTCAACTTTGTACAGAACAAAGTATTCAATGAGAATATTTCATTCATTCAGATCTAGGATGTGTTATTAGAGTGTTTCCTTTATTCTTTTGAGCAGTGTATATTGATGTGTGATTAAAATATCAAACATTTAATTCTGCTGTGGTTTTGCATCATGTTAGTCAATTTAGTTGGAACAAAACTACACCACTCAAAATAAAATTTTGTTTTATATTCCTAAGCCACATCATTACTCTCTAAAAACTAGAAAATTTTCATTAGAGGTGTAGCAATGGTAAGCTTTGTGTCATGACATGTAGTAGACCCAAATGCAAAGCAGCAGAGATGTGGAGTTGATCATGAGAATATTGAATGAAAATGATGAACAAAAATAACTTACCAAATAAAAACTCTGGGAGCCAGGACAGACGACAAACCATAAATCCAAAGGAGCACCAACAAGGAAGCACAAGGAGTGAATGAAAGAGGTGTGATTAAGTACTGGGAGAGTGAATGCTGCAACTATAGACTTGGACTGACTGACTAACCGATTGCAGGTGTGAGGGGAGAGAGATAGGTGGTACAGGGGGTGAGGGAGACTACTCACTAATTTAAAACAGTTCATTTACTTAGATTGAAAAATCACAGCTTTCTTGCGAATATTCTCCACTGTGCATTACTGTGACTACCAAAAACACATTTACTGCACTGTAAAGAGCAATTGCACATTGATTTATTTTTGCACAGTAGAGTTAAAACACTTTGGTGTTTATGTAGCCTGTTGGGGATAGTTTTGCTTGTAGAATCTGATAGCTTGAAGGAAAGTCCTGCAATAACAGTGTTTCACACATATAAGGAGCAAGCTTTGTCAAAAAGCTAACCCAGTAATGGCCAATCATTGTGAAATAGTAGTGGACTGGCATTAGTAAAAAAAAAAGAAGAAAAAAAAGGCAGGACATCGTCCATCATTTCCAACGTTTTAATGTATAAAACCTTGGACTATTCTAATCTTCACCAGCTTTTAAAGTGAATGAAATCAAACCTCAAGTCTCCAAAAGCACATCAGTGCACAAAATGTGTGCTGAAAATAAAGAAATCTGTAAAGCTAAAACACCTTGGCTGTTAAAAAAACAGAGATAACTTTTAGATTACGATAAGTTACGTATGTATTTATTTTAAGTCATATTGAATTACTTACATCACTCTGAAATATATATAAATTTGATCTCTTATGATTATATTTGTATTGTTAATATTTAACATCTTAGATGCAGTACCTTGTCAACAAATAAGCAACTTCGCCTTGGGGATCAATAAAATATATTCTCTTCTGTTCCATTAAGAAGACACGTTGTCACTGAGGCAATTCTTTAAAGTTGGCTATTATTAAGATTCCATAAGTTTGCATTTATGCAGGCTGGGGAGTTTCATACATGTTGTATTTAACGTTGGCAGCAGTAGGTTCTCATAAATATGTGTTACTTAGCACAGACAATTACACATTGGGATTTGTTTCTTTGTGGCCCCATAAAGCAAAGCATACAAGAGCAAAGAGTGCAAAACCATTTTTTAAAAGAGCCTGAAAGCTGTGTTAAATATTTATCAGCCTCCTCTGACTCACCAGCATTAATTCTCAAACCTCAAAGAAGGTCCTCTGCTTCCCTAAACTGTACACTTTGACAGGTTTTAGAGGTGTGCTGTTGAGCAAATTTGTGTATTCTGTTTGTTGCCCAAGAAGCGTCCTCAGGGCTACATGCATGTTCATGAACGTTGATGCATGTGTTGGGAATCAGAAGTCTGGGAAACTAAAAATGTTGTTCTTCAGTAGGTTTAACTTATAACAAATTATTATAATTTTTTATGGCAATTGATCATAAATCTAATAATTTTGATAAAAAATGAAGTTGGGGCACCACTCTTAAAATAGAGAAAAATATGTAATATAGCCCAAAAAAAAAAAAATCTGTCTCATTATTTATAATACCTGCCTAATAAGGCCTAAGATTTAAAACAATAATAAATGAAGACATAAATTCACATGTTTAAGGAGTAAACACAGACAACTTATTTGAAATATATGAGTTTATAGACAAAATTAAATTAACTGCACCGTTGAAATATTTCATTCAGTCAACTTGGTAAGCTAGCAACACACAACTAAAACTACTGAGGAAAACATAAAGTGATGAAACCAACACTATTAATAGTAAAAAATAGGTTTACAAAAAGTCATAAAAATGATGCAGTGATGAGCTAAATTTACTTTTGCATCTGGTCAAATCCATGGAGGTATTGCTAGTAAAGGTACTGTTAGAGTGAGCATTTGATTATTTGCAATTCTTCTGCTTTTTTATTGACTGTCCACCCAAAAGCTACTTGTCTACTGCTCTTTTTCTGAATATGGCTCTAGAGTTTCTGCTGTTGGATGATTCGACTTATTTCCTTGTAAGCTGACCCAGTACTTCAGTGCTAATTGTGTTCTTCTTAATTCTAATGGCTTTTCTCCCATCTCCACTTTAACTGCTGCTGTTGGGTTGGTTTTGAATGCTTCTGTACATATTCTTAGTGCCTGACGCTGAATATTATAGTTTTTTAAATTGTGTTTTTGCTGCTGAACCACTGACAACACTTAAGTAGTCTATGTTTGATCTGATCAATCCTATAAATATTTCCAATGTGAAAATGTTAAATCAACCTGTGAAAATATTAAAAGTGCCTGGGGGCTTTGCCAAACTGTCCGAGTTGTCAGTTTGTGTGAGGAGTCTGATGGTTCGAGGAAAGAAACCGTCAAACCCGCTTTCACGGACAGAATATGAGGGCCTGAAAGGTTTGGTACCTCTTCCACATGACAAGAGGTGGAGGAGTTTATGTGAAAGGTGTGTGGGGTCATGCGCGAAGTTGATAGCTTTGCAGATGAAGCTATGGTGGAAATGTCTGTCTAAGAGGAGAAGAAAAAACTCAAAAGATATTCTCAGCTGTCTCAGTGCATGCAAGGTCTAACAACATGATACAGTACAATTTCCTCCACCAGATAGTGAGCAGCAGCACAGTGTGCTTTTGAAAGCCCCTCTGAAAAAAGAGTGAGGGGCGATCGGATTTAGCGTGGACTTCTGTCAATTCCTATTGACCTTGTAGATCTATTTTTCTCTAATTCTGAAAGGAGTCATCAAAAGTTTCAAATACAAGCCCTTAGTCTCTCTTTCATAGAAAGCAGTAATATGTTATAATACAATATATTACTTTGTATTATAATATAATACTATCAATAAGTGAAGTGGGATTAGAATTTGTGCAGAGTTGTGTAGGAAGGCATTGGCCAGGCTAACTAGTTGTGGTACTCTGGACAGCTTTTCAGATACTGCTGGTTATGCCAATAACATTAAGCATAGAGTTAGTGTGAAAAAAGGAGAATGTGTTAACTTCTTTCCAAACTACTGAAGTGTGTGCATTTGTATAACAAACTTTAGATATGGAAATTGCATCTGTGCAACTCTTGATGAGTTTTCTAGAAAAATAATCTGTCTTAATGCTAAAACAAATGAAGCTAATAGCAAAAATTCAACCTGGAAGACTCCATCCCCTCCGTTCGTCCATCGGCGTCATGCTCATCTCAGTCCTCAGCGCTGGACCTCACCTGGCGTGTCCAATCATCAATCAAGCTCAGCATAAAAGGATCCACACCCAAGTCGTCGGCCGCTTCCCAGCTGCGTTCAACCCACCACCTCCCCTTCTCCACCCACGTCCTTCGGCTCTCCAGGATGGCACCCTTTCCAGACCTCCACCACCAGTGTCGGGCCCCGGGGGAGAGCATCCCTAATCGGTTATCGGGATGTTCATCGAGTTCACATCAAATCTCAGCTCAGATCAGCTGCCGGAGCCCGAGCGCCAAAGAACTGTTATTCATTGCTGTCATTAAACCTTTTAATTGTTCCTTTTTCTTCGTCTGAGTCTTTCCAGATTGAAATAACAATCCTTGGTCGGAGTGGGCAGGCCTTTAAGTAGTGTAGCCTTACAGGCCTGCCCAAGTGTTTTAGTCTATGGGGGAAACTTGGAGCTAAAATTGACCACGTTCAAGGGTTTTATTTTTTCTCTCTGTCCTTGGCCCCAAACAAAACCCTCAATAGTTATCTGAAGGGAGAGAATACAGCATGTCAAAGAACTGAACTGTGATATTAACTGAATTGGTGGTGTTTTCTTTGTAGTCAGCGTCATAGTCAGTATGTCATCAACTTTTAAAGGATTTCTATTTCAATGTAATTGCTTCAGAGGATATCAAACATGGTGCAGAATTCAGGGTAATAACTGCAAGTGCAAAGTAGTTTAAATATGGCAAGGCACAGGTAACAAATCCTCTGTTGAGCCTGGTTTCAGCATTGAAGTAAACCAGAACTTTGTCAAGAGATGACAAAAGAACCAGTCTGAAAACATAAAGCTTTCATTTCCTCAGCATTTTTGACATAGCGGTGAAGATGGTCAACATGTCTGTCCTCTGTGAGGTAGGAGGTTCCATGTTGTTTTGGGGACGCAATATAGGAACCCATCCTAACAAAGAGGTCCTCTTCATCTATTGCACTATGAAAAGTCTACTCAACAGGTAGCTGAGAAACGATGTAATCAAACATTAACATCAACTGAGTCCATTGCATGGATGCAAGCTAAAATGAAAGCCCTTGATAGCCTCTCCGGAATGTAGCAGGTTGCCTTGATTTCCTGAGTTATTAGTAAAAGTGGACTGGGACAATTGTCTGCTTTATTTTGTGCTGGGCAAAAGATAAAACATAATGAAAAACACCTTAATTATGAACACACAAGCAAAAATAAAATGTTTTGAATAGGCTGAACATTTGTTTGTTAATGTTATTTTTCTTTTCATTCCCAAGTCACAATTACCCAGACCATTTTCAGAACTGCTAACATCTGATGGAATTCTAAACCTCCTGTTTCATCTAGTGTTTGTTCTTTTAAACATGTGCAACCTGCTACATCTGCAGAAAACTGACCAGTGCACGTTGTTGGTGTGCGTCATACCTGGGCAGTTTTGTATGCCTCCCCATGACTCATCTGCATTTGTGAGGTGACTAGGCTATTATATGAAAACAATAGGAGCAGCGAATTACGCGTAGGTGGTCTGGTAAGGTCAGTACCCTGAACGATGAAGTATTTTAGCTTACAATATACAACAAAACTGTTCAAATTTTGGATTTCTCCATTACCATAACTTAGATATTTGCCTAAGTGACTTTTTAAAATTGATATAAAAAAAACAAAAAAAACATTTAATTTGTTCATAGGGTTCTATTTTATAAATTTCTTTATGCGACATCTCACTTCTATAAGTTTCTAACTAGGTCATGAACAAGTGTTCCTTGTCTTACCTGTTCAAGTACTTCATTTTTGTGATCATCATCTAATCTGACCAGGTTTTCTCAAGGATTCCATATAACTGCATCTGCTTCATCTAAGTCTAGAGAAGATTCAACAGCTTCA